TTTTTTTTTAAGTAACTCTTACCTTTTTTAACCACAACAGGGTGGACAGCTTGTTGCAAAACGTTATAAAAAATTCACTTTAGGAAAGGGGCTTGGTCGGTCTTCCCATGGCAAAAAATCATAACATAAAAAGTACTGAATGAGAAGTTAAAAGACCCACACAAAATTAGGTCGTAACATTGCCCAGACGATTGTCTTAAACACAAAGCTCCTAAGTTACTGTCAAAATAAGATTTTAAAACTTACTAATTTTACCTTAAGTAAACTTTTTAGACTTGGCCAAACATGCTTCAAAAATCCAAATGCATCAAACTCAAATCTATAACAACAATGCAAACTCCAAGATGGCCAGTGCTACCTAAATAGCTATCTGTGAAACTAACAACTACTATAATGGGTAAAGGAGAGCAGCAGAATGTTGGTTTCTCAAACATGATAACTTGAGATCAAAACATATGTAATTTTTGAGCTTTTAAACTGTTCAAATAAAATTGGGATTCAAGATAATTTGGAAGTAATATTTAAAACTTGTGAACTCCATTTGCTGACTTGAATTTACCACAAGCATGAAACAAGGCACGGTGTCAATATGAGTGTTGAACTATGTATAACAAAAACGGCCATTTCCGTTCTGCAATTTCTTGTACATTTATTGCACATTGTGGAACTTGTAAGAATCCAAACCCGAAAGCCTGGGCAGTACAGAAACTATATTGCAAAGGAAAGATCTAACAAGAGCACTTGGTCAATAAGAAGTGTTATCCAAATCTTATAGAAAAATCTGCATTTATGTTGTCCACAAGAGTGCCTTGTGGAAGAAATGATGTCTGTAAAATGGACATTTAAAGTTGTGTGTAAGTATAGTGGATCTCGTGATTCTATCAATCCAAGGCTATTAAAATGGGGTCATATGATACGAAAATGAACTTGTACCTTCATAAGTAGAGCACAGTACAGATATAATTAAGATCTATCACCTACAAGATAGATTTTCTAATTAAGAAATGGTGTGAAAAAACTAAAATGATTGTCTTACTCTGGAATTTATGCTTGGTATTCATTATTCAATATATGATGATGGATAAAATAACGGACCTCAGGAGAAGATGATGCAATGATTCATGGCGACTAATTGGCTAAAAATATTTTGCCAACGACGGATTTTGAAGAATTGAAATTTTGAAGTTGATGCCTGTAATGAAATGCGCGTTGAAGTGCTAGAAACTAGCAGAATTTCTAGTGCATGTTAACTACATTTAATTTTAACAATTCGTTCATATCTACAATTTGCATTCCAAAAAAAAAAAAAAAACAGAATGCTCATAAAATTATCTAAAGACCAAGAAGAAGATAGACCGTCAAAATCCAGAAACCCTACAAAAAATCTTAAACAAGCAAGATCTACTGAAAGCACTGCCAAGATTTCTTCCACAATTCCGATTACATTACATGATGAGTCCAGTTGCAGTTACCTATTGATTCTTCTAATATATTTTGACAACTAGATCACACCATATCCTTTATGCTCGTATATATTAGGAGTGATCATATGCATTAAACTACTAGTTAACAAGACAAAACTGTGATAGGAGAGAAATCGACATATATAAAGCATTATAAATAAAGATATACCACCAATCCAAACCTGGAATTTAGAGCATTAGGAAGCAATAGCTTTACCTTGTATCTAATAGCTTCATAAGTTCCATAAACAGCACCTGAGGGTATATACCAAATCAGATTGACTCTTAATTATAGTAACTTCAAATAACCATAATCTAGCAGACATTCAATATAACTACGAGCCATAAAAGTTAAAATACAGAAACTAATTTTTATCTATCATCAAATTTCTAGGCGAACAGTTACCGAACTTCTTGTTGATAGAATTTCGATCCATACATATATACAGATTAAATAAAATTTAATAAAAAAAATGCATACTCCTTAGTGGAAAATGTTAGGGTTAAGCCCTAATCCATTCGAAATAACTTGCATATTTTCAGTGAGAGAAAGAAGATGAATTACCAACTGCGCCACCAATACCACCACCGACTGCAACCCCCGCCGTCACTCGTGCTAGACAACTATCCCTTGCCATCTCTCTCCCCCTCTGTCTATCTCACGCACAAATTTTTGGTGCTTGAGTTTATTTTTCTGTTTTTATATGCTTGGGCTTTAAATTTTTAAGTGAGAACGATAAAACAAATAAATTTACACACAAGTAAAACTGAGTTTTTAAAATAAATATTTTTTTTTT